CACCTTTGACGTTATGGAGCACGAGGTCCACAGCTGTTCACACCTGGGCGGTTTTAGTATTGAGTAGTCTTTACTCTTTCAAATGTCGACTGCGGACTTGCCACGGGTTCTGTATGAACATATGAACGGTCTTTAGAAACAAGGGCCCAAGATAGCACAGTTATGCCTGTTAAAAGCAAAAGAGGCGACGGAACTTTTGAAAAAAATAAAAAAATTCTCTCTGATAATCTCACCGAGATGATGGCACATTTTGATGAAATGCAGTACATACGGAGTTCGCTATGGCTCAACTGAAGTTCAAGATCTGTGGCACCAACATAAGGACTTTTAAGTGAAAAGAAAGGAAATATTATATTGACCACGCAGACTTTATATTCTAAAGACCAGCAATATGTTCGTTTTAAATCGACCACTTAATGTTAACTTTCTTAAGTATACCGTATTTTTATGCAAAAGGTAATTTGCTAGGACCCACGAGAGCCCACATTCGTTCTCGTGATATCCCGATTCAGGGGCCCAGTGGTTGTCGTGCTGGAGTGACGTGCCTCATCTTGGATTCGAGCTCGTGACTTTGCGTTATCATCGTTGATGACGCTTTGGATTGCCTATTTGCATCCATGCACGCTACCGACTGCGCCGTGACAGACCCGCCCACCCTCCCTACTTACGAGTTTCCTCTTATAGTAATCAATCGCAATTTTTTTTTAAATAAAGTCTGCCCAAAAAGGACATTTACTTCTACTGGGACTCGAACCAGTCTACGAGTGTCTGCCGGTATCCTAGTCAGCAAAGCCACCACGGAGCCACGGTAGCTTCGTTGATACACGACGATCAGATGGAAACTTTCTACCTTGTCACAGAAAGGGCCAGATTGGGTGCACATGTATATATCTGTTGACCCAATCGATAATCCGGGTGCTGTATTTCATCAAACTCAACCCCAGTCCTCGACCATGGTTTATCATGAACGGCAAATTCCATGATGTACAGGAAGCCGTGTTTGAGAACCCGACACGGAGCTCGGAGTTTGATTTATGCTTAGATTAATAATTTTGGCTATACCTATGATATTAAAGAGTACAATAGGATCAGAAGCGGTTTACAACTGGCGTTTTTTAGTTCAAGGGACACTCTGAGAAGATGGAATAATAAAAAAAATCAAATGTGTAATTGCTGGTGCGATTTCCATTGAAGCAATTGCAGGGACGGATAAATTTTAGTTAAACATAATTGGCAACTAATTCCGCCTAGAAGATATAGTTTTTCTGCTGAACACGGTTAACAGGTATCAATTCAAGTTCGGTCGTGTCGCTTTCATTGATGGGCCTCCGCGGAAAGTTCCGAGTAAGATGACTTCAGATGCTTTTATTTTCATTCTGTTTTGCACTGAGATAACGTTTGGTTTCACCTTTGACGTTATAGAGCACGATGAGGTCCACAGCTGTTCACACCTGGGCGGTTTTAGTATTGAGTAGTCTTTACTCTTTCAAATGTCGACTGCGGACTTGCCACGGGTTCTGTATGAACATATGAACGGTCTTTAGAAGCAAGGGCCCAAGATAGCTCAGTGGGGCTTAAAAAGACAAAATGAATGCCCGTTAAAAGCAAAAGAGGCGACGGAACTTTTGAAAAAAATAAAAAAATTCTCTCTGATAATTTCACCGAGATGATTGCACATTTTGATGAAATGCAGTACATACGGAGTTAGCTATGGCTCAATCGTAGTTTAGGATCTGTGGCACCAATATAAGGACTTTTAAGTGAAAAGAAAAGAAATATTATATTGACCACGCAGACTTTATTCTAAAGACCAGCAATATGTTCGTTTTAAATCGACCACTTAATGTAAACTTTATAAAGTATACCGTATTTTTATGCAAAAGGTAACTTGCTAGGACCCACGAGAGCCCACATTCGTTTTCGTATATTTGAGTTATTTGTTTCCCAGCATGGCCAAGGAAGTGCTTGCAATCTGTCACGAAGGGTTTATGTACAATTAACGCCATCAAATCTTTGACGAATTCAACACGTCAAAAGAGAAAAGTCACCCGTAGTAGCGGGATTTTTGAAGCTGTGGGTACTATTGACTGACTAAGATTTATCTGCATTATATTGAAAGAAGAGTAATTGGTTTAGGTGCCCGAAACTCAAGCCCACCTTCACAAATTTCGAACTAAACCAATGTGCTAGATGTGACTTGGTCATTGCGTCGAGGACCATAATCCATCAAGTGACAAATCGCGCTATAATACTGATAGAATAGTCAAAACTTACTACACTTTTTTTAAGTTTCGGTAACACGAACCCCATTTCTGACCTGGGACTTGAAAAAAAGGAGGGGCTATCTGAACAGCTCGAGGGAAAAGTTCAAGACCAAGGACCCATACCCAATTAAATTATCGTGTTACAAAGATTGAGACTCGCTGAATGCAATCAGATTAACAAGTGAACACGCCTCCTCTTGTTTCTAACGTACCCGTATAATTACCAGCTTTTCTGTATTGTACTCGGCCCCACAAAGAGATATGTTAATCTGATTGCAATCAGCGAGAGCCTCTGCGGAGCTGGATCGATCTACACAGAACGATAGTTTCATTGGGAGCGAACCCTAATAGGTTATAACTGGCGTATGATTAGCGTTGAGCTCAAACATCCTTGTGCAGATATTGCTAATCAGTTATATAATAAATATGAACATAAGAAGACCTTTGAGATACAAAGGGTAAGTATGCTTTTCTGACGAGACAACTTATTCCAAATTCTTATTCGATTATTTTGAGACACGAATTCAAATTGAGACAGGCCATTTAAGCAAGAGAAAAAGCAATATTTTAAACTGCTTAAAACCACAAAAGCGATCTCGATTTTATCAAATAATACTAATTTCTGATCCACTTTTATAGTTATCAATATCAAAAACAAATAGAAAATGTTCGGTTTATCTGTACATATTTATTCAGTGGTAAACATCTATGAGAAAAGAAGAATAGATGTCATTCAAGTTAAATAATAACATAAATATGATTAACTTAAAACTATGTACACATTCAGTTAATACGGAGAAGGTAATAGAAAAGACCATACGCGAGTAGGGGAAGACGTTTCTTCCTATGCTATTACCAAATCGCCTGAATTATTGGCTGAAAACATATAACTCTTAAATTTCAATTCCCGCACCTTATCGTTTTGGAAACAATGGAAATTGATATAAAGACAAGTTGAGAATTGTATGAATATCTTACATCATTGTGAAATATCAAAACTGAGGAATTGGCATGTATGCCCCCAAAGCGACGCTTGAGTGACAACGAATGTACACTGCACATAATGCGTTTATAAGACTTGAAAATTGTAATGTAGTAGATTCGTAATTTATCAACATTAGAATCTTGGTCGTTATTGTAATATTTGCACGTCTCGATGCGCTCATAATTTCAAAGGCTGGAAATGTTATATTTGAGGTTAATCTCATCTGTACTCGGTATAGGCTACATGTCTAATGTTGGCCTAATTATCCATCCGTAAAAAATTGAAACCATGTTGGTTCTAATGATGAAGTCACTATGGTTTTTCATACATTCTTTATGTGCACGTCATGCATCGTTTTGTGGAACAGGCCTTATCTAGGCGTGTGTTTGGCATGTCACCAAAAACAATTACTGTTATAAAATTACATATTTCTTTTAGATTTCGTACCGCCCTTTTACTTGGCTTATGAAGATCTTACTGGATCAATTTTAAGCAATAGGCTAGCGTTTGTCTACAAATTGCAATAAATAAACGACAGCAACGCATCTCTCAGGCAACCATAAGCATATGTATAGAACATGCCCTGTCTTCGAGAAATTCGACTTAGACCTAGTTTCCGAACTTCAATTTCCCGAGAACCCTCAGATGTTAGGCAAACATGTGACAAGTGTGGACGGAAAAAAAAAAGCTGCGAATGTTCGTTTGGAATTTTCTCGGCGTCATTATCATCGGAAGCGACCTCTAATGGTAATCGTTAGAGAAACGTCTGCAATCATTCTCAAGCACCGTAATAAGTTCTGCCCGCTTTTGTTTAGCGCCATAATAAATATNATTCAACACGTCAAAAGAGAAAAGTCATCCGTGGTAGCAGGAATTTTTGAAACTGTGGGTACTTTTGACTGATTAGGATTTATTATATCGAAAGATGAGTAATTGGTTTAGGTGCCCGAAACTCTAGCCCACCTTCACAAATTTCGAACTAAACCAATGTGCTAGATGTGACTTGGTCATTGCGTCGAGGACCATAATTCATCAAGTGACAAATCGCGCTATATAATACTGATAGAATAGTCAAAACTTACTACACTTTTTTAAGTTTCGCTAACGCGAACCCCATTTCTGACCTGGGACTTGAAAAAAGGAGGGGCTATCTGAACAGCTCGAGGGAAGAATTCAAGACCAAGGACCCATACCCAATTAAATTATTGTGTTTCAAAGATTGAGACTCGCTGAATGCAATCAGATTAACAAGTGAACACGCCTCCTCTTGTTTCTAACGTACCAGTATAACGACCAGCTTTTCTGTATTGTACTCGACGTCAGGAAGAGGTGTGTAATCTGATTGCAGTCAGCGAGAGTCTCAGCAGAGTTGGATCGATCTACGTAGGACGATAGATTCATTGTGAACCAACCCTAAAGGGTTATAACTAGTGTATGGTTAGCGTTGAGCTCAAACATCCTCGTGTAGATGTTGTTTATCAGTTGTAGTAAATATGAATATAAGAAGAACTTTGAGATACAAAGGGTAAGTATACTTTTCTGACTAGACAACTTATTCTAAATTCTTATTCGATTATTTTGAGACACGAATTCAACTTGAGACAGGCCATTTAAGCAAGAGAAAAAGCAATATTTTAAACTGCTTAAAACCACAAGAGCGATCTCCATTTTATCAAATAATACTATTTTCTGCCCCACTTTTATAGTTATCAATATCAAAAACAAATAGAAAATGTTCGGTTTACCTGTACATATTTATTCAGTGGTAAACATCTATGAGAAAAGAAGAATAGATGTCATTCAAGTTAAATAATAACATAAATATGATTAACTTAAAACTATGTACACATTCAGTTAATACGGAGAAGGTAATAGAAAAGACCATACGCGAGTAGGGGAAGACGTTTCTTCCTATGCTATTACCAAATCGCCTGAATTATTGGCTGAAAACATACAACTCTTAAATTTCAATTCCCGCACCGTATCGTTTTGGAAACAATGGCAGTTGATATAAAGACAAGTTGAGAATTGTATGAATATCTTACATCATTGTGAAACATCAAAACTGAGGAATTGGCATGTATGCCCCCAAAGCGACGCTTGAGTGACAACGAATGTACACTGCACATAATGCATAAGACTTGAAAATTGTAATGTAGTAGATTCGTAATTTATCAACATCAGAATCTTGGCCGTTATTTGCAAGTCTTGATGCACTCGTTATTTCGAAAGCTGGAAATTTTATATTTGAGGTTAATCTCATCTGTACTCGGTATAGGCTACATGTCTTATGTTGGCCTAATTTCCCATCCGTAAAAAATTGAAACCATGTTGGTTCTAATAATGAAGTCACTATGGTTTTTCATACATTCTTTATGTGCACGTCATGCATCGCTTTGTGGAACAGGCCTTATCTAGGCGTTCGTTTGGCATGTCACCAAAAATAATTACTGTTATAAAATTACATATTTCTTTTAGATTTCGTACCGCCCTTTTACTTGGCTTATGAAGATCTTACTGGATCAATTTTAAGCAATAGGCTAGCGTTTATCTACAAATTGCAATAAATAAACTACAGCAACGCATCTCTCAGGCAACCATAAGCATATGTATAGAACATGCCCTGTCTTCGAGAAATTCGACCTAGACCTAGTTTCCGAACTTCAATTTCCCAAGAACCCTCAGATGTTAGGCAAACATGTGACAAGTGTGGACGGAAAAAAAAAGCTGCGAATGTTCGTTTGGAATTTTCTCGGCGTCATTATCATCGAAAGCAACCTCTAATGGTGATCGTTAGAGAAACGTCTGCAATCATTCTCAAGCACCGTAATAAGTTCTGCCCGCTTTTGTTTAGCGCCATAATAAATTTGATGTGGAACGCTGGTTGGTCAGCTATTTAGGCATCTGTGAACTCTCTGGCGTCAAAAACTTAACGCACGTCATGGTCTTGACACGTTCCCTGAACGCATACTTTGACGTCATAGACGCTTTTTACTTACAGCTTCTATTGTAGTGGCACTTTCAAGCGCTCAGCGCTGTTTGAGTACCATATTCTACTAATTTCAACTGAAATATTTTCATCTCTATCTGCGTTGGTTGGTGGGTATTACGTCAGCCTAAATATTGATGACGTCAACATGTTGACACGCTGTGATAGGAAGGCTCAACACGGAATTGTTTATTGTCAATGTTTACGTTACGGAAGCATCCTTCTAAGCGGTGAGCTTTGTTGTTGCCGAATTCGTTCTGAAAGCAAAAGAACAAATATGTTAAAGTTTTGCTACATACATATCAAAACGTAACCTCTCTCTCTCTCTCTCTCTCTCTCTCTTCACATGGTGTAAGTCCAATTTTAAAAGCTGGGCGATTCATGAAAAATTGCAAACTGGGGATTTTGATATTGTATTTGATGTACTTTTGCTGATGCTTTTGTAGATTCAAATAAACGGAAGGAAAATTTAACTGAAAATGAGAAACCTTACCTCTAATCCCAGATCTGACGTCACTTGTCGCACCAAGTGAGGTGGTAGTCCGCCAAAGAACAGGGTGTTGAAGGAAGGGCACGAGACCTGGTAGCGGCGGTACGGGGATTCATGGTTGATTTTAATGGCGCCCGGCGTCCCGTCTTCACGATTATAGTTCAGCTGAAAAATAGAGAAATCAATCGTGATTAAATTGATTGCCTGATCATTTTTTTTTCGTGTGTGTGTGTGTGTGTGTGTGTGTGTGTGTGTGTGATCTAACTATCAAGTTTTGTGCATTGCACTAGAAAATACGAAATCATCAAAATATGCCTCAAACAGTTCCACAACAGTAACGACTTGCATTAAATGCGTAAAATGCGTGTATTGCTGTTTATTGCATTGTTACTTTTTGTTATATCTTTTTTTCTTTTTTTTTCTTCTTTTTTTGCAAATGAATCCTCCCTCAATCCTAAGATTCACTTGGTAATTTTAGTTCAAACTGAATCGCCTATTAGCGTTATTTTGTCGAATCTTCACACCATTTGCAGATTTTGATCATTTTCATCGGAACAGTCATTTATGACCTACTATTAGTTAGGCACCGCACTTTCCGGTTCTTGTTTGACCTTGTTTGATCAAGACTCTGACGAGTCGTTTGAGATTAGCGATCTTATCATCAATGAGATAAAGGATGCGAGGACATTTGATCAACGAGCACTTCCCGGGGTAGTTCTTTTTTTATCTAAACCGGAGACGGATGCTTTTGGTGTCATCTCCGGTGAGGGCGACAGCGCGTGAAATTTTATCAGAGAAGAAAATCGCCGCTATCTTTAGCTACGGAGCCTTTCATGTTTTAGCACCTTACATTACGCTCTGTCAATGTCTTAACAATAGGAACAAATTATAAGGGGTAAGGTAAAAAGGACAGAAAATAGAGTACATGTCGATTTTAAGTGTAAATACATTTAATTAAAGTCGAGACAAACTGCAAACGTTTGGGGAAGTAAAACAATGAATATTCCCCATTTTTATATTCCGATTTGGTAACGTGTCACAACTTACAGCAAACACACTTTTAATAATATAATTTAAATCCCGTCTTTTTATGTCTGAACTAAAATCTTCTCAAAATCTCGGGCTATTGACCTTATGTCACATACGTACATGTATTTTATAGTTTATAAAGATAGGTTATCATATATTATTATATATCATATAATTATCATCATAAACGTTGTCCAAAAGAGGTGTTAGATTGTTATTAATCATTCTCCCCAAACAACATTTCTTTCTGAATAAGATAAAATAATTCAGCAGTGAGTCTACATTGTACGTTGTAGGATGCCAGTTGACGTCCGAGTATTCAATTACGACGGGCAGAAGCAATACCAATAAAACTCATTTCTTCAAAAGAACTCGTCAATCTAATACTAGCTTCCGATGTAATAAACACTTGCTAATCCTGGTATGAATTCTGGCCACATTTCATCATGCTTACAAATATGTTTAATTAGTGGAGCGCTAGTCATAGGTGTGTGATCTTTTATCGGACACCAAATACTGGGAAATTTTGCCCTGGAAACAGGACTGAATGACGACGAGGGCGACAACGTGGCCTGGGTGTCCGCCTGGGTTTTTCACGAGGTGTGATGAAGGTGATCTAATGTTCGGCAATCCGCAAGGAGTGGCCCGCTATTTGTGCCTCCACAATGTCCATGACGATAAAGACAAAAGTTCTGACTACATGGGAACTTTTTCGTGATATTTAAGTGTTTTGGTGTATTGTAAGTGAAGGGTGCTGCCAGAGGTAGCTTCACATTACCGGTTATGTGAACCACTCCCTGGCTTTGGTTGGCATGACGCGACTTTGCCATCCATGGCATTAGCTCTTTGCTTATTTTTGTCATATATCTATTTATATATACGTGAGCTAATTATATCTTTAAGCATCTAATTTCGTCTTGGATGTTGAAATTGATTGATGCGTCATGCATTTTTCATTTTCTAAAAAGGCTTTTTGATTAATTCATTCACATTCATTTCAAGTGTAATTTGAAACTGAAAATGTGTTCCTGGCCAAAAGATACAAAACATTTAAGAACACGTGCTGTAAAGTAGCTTTCTGAAACACTGTTGCAGGTGGTTTCACTTTTCCTATTACCGACCCCCCCCCCAACCACCACCACCAGGCATTAACCCAACCACCACCTCACCTCACCCCACCGAATATAGACTCCATGAACCTACCTTGTGCCACTGGCCGTCGTCCAGCTGTTTCCTCTCTCGGAGCCGGCCCGTCATGCCGTTACATTTGAACGCGAAATACATGTGTCCGTCCTTCAGGTACACCGTCACGTAGTCAGTCATGGTAGACCTTCTGGAGCCTGTGGAGGCGAGGAAGACGAAACCGGAGGGCGACGAGGTTCTAAACTCGATGTTTAGTTTAGACCTGGAAGAAAACAATGAAAGATCTTTTAAAAATACTAGACCATGTTAGCTTTTCGCGGAGACCATCTCGTCATTTGGCGAGAAGCTTTGATTTTGAAAATTTCACAACTGTCTGCGACTGATTTTAAGAGGTTGAGGAAGTCTTGTTCTTTTCGGATTCTTTTTAAAATTTTTATCGTCTAATGTGGATACTGAAGCGCGCGCACGTTAAAAATGAATAAAGCAATCGTGCTGCGTGTGTGTGTGTGTGTGTGTGTGTGTGAGAGAGAGATGGCGGGTTGGGAGGCTGGGTCATGGAGAGAGAAAGTAGAAGAAGGGAAATAACGTACCCTTTATCCAGCGAGGGAGACAAGCTTGAGAACTGGACCCTACTGCCGTGAACCTTCTCCGTCCGTACGCCGTAACTGTTCGTTATGTCCATCTTTGCCTAGAAGTAAAAGGAGACATTTTTAAGGATTTTATTCTTTTCTAGTTTTTATTACCCAAAAGGCGCATTGAACGCAATTTACAACCCTTTAATGCATTGAATCTGTTAATGAAGGCTAAACTTTGGCCAGCAATTATATCAAATTGTATTTTTAGATTGACAAATAGATTGACCGGACAGGCACAGGGTACGACCCGCCGATGATATGGCGGGGGAGGGGAGGGGAGCTTTTCGAAATCATTCAAATATATCAAACAAGATAAACTATAGATATCTATATCAAAAAACATATCGAGATTCGCACATTAACGGTACATAAAACCAAGTCGCAGTGACAACAAGGATCCAAGGTGATTAAAAAATGTCACACCTTAAAAGTGCTTCTGTGCGTAATATTGACATTGTTAAGTGGCTGAATCAGGTAAAAGGAATGACTCATCGCGCACCACCATAAATCCCGGCCACAGAGGTTAAGGTGAGCGGTGACACTTAATTTACTTTTAAATCTCATGTAAATAAAGTGGCATCAATTGCAATGGAATATATCAAGGTTAGCACACGGACCCCGCTGCCGGTGTGTGAGATTGTCACCTTTAATGGGGAAAAGTTTATAAAAAGATCGGCTAATTGTACGATGACTCATCCCCGTGCAGCGACGGAATAACTGTGTTGCCTTGTTAGTCTATGTGTTTCTTTACTTTTATCCATCCACATAAGATGCAGTGTCAGTTGAACATCCAGGGGTTGTACGTTATTAATTTGACTTAGTGCGGTCTTAGGGGGCGGTACTGAACGCTAGGCGTCCAACCCTCAAACTTTTTTTACTACAGTTTATCCGCGCGTTGTCATCTTTCCTTCGTGTCGTTTGTCACGTTTGTATTTTTTATGTATGGCTCACGTCTTTTTAACTATAATTAAGTATGAAACCAAGATTTATTTCGTCTCGCAGGTTAGATGATAGTGCACGGGATGTCTTGTCTGGTGTGCGCGGATTAACATATTGGGAAAAGCGATTTTTTATTCTGTTTTTTTTTAATCTTATGCGTGTAAAAGCTGCGTGTCTTTCATGTAATCCTGTTTAAATTAACAAAAAAAATAATATATTCTTTGTTAAGATAAGATAGAACAGCTGTTGTTGGTTTGTCATGCTTCACTGTCATTTTTTCAACTCTGGAGTTGGGTTCAGGCTGGGGTCTTGTCTGGTAGAAGAATACGGTCACTATATTCTTCATTTTCAAGTATAAATTCTTTTGAAATATTTATTCCTCATAACTGTGTGATATAAAGAAATCAGAAGAGACCCACACAGAGAGTCAGCTGAGTTAAGCCAGAAAGAAACGTCCTTCCACACGGCGTGTGATCCTGACCCCCCCCCCCCCCCGAACCCCTACCCCAAACCACTCGGCCCAATAACTCACCTCGTAGATCTCTATCAGCGTTATCAGTGTGTTCAATAATTACCTCCGGAAGTCCCACCTGCCCGAACACCTTTGGATAATAACGCTGTTAAATCGCGGATCACATGGCCGACGTGATTTAAACACATTTATCACAGAATCTAAAACGCTGTTGAACATGTAGGCACCGCGGATCACGCCATGCCATGGTCTGAATGGAGTGTTGTCCGTGCTCACGGCAGATATTGGAATTGTAAGTGTTCAGGCAGCGATTTCAAAAGGAGAGGGGAGGTGTCTTTTTCTTTTTCTGAAAAGTAGACCTTATTTTGCCCGCTTGGTTGACCTAACTCGAGAAATTGCTTAGAGCACAGGTCAATTTTTGATTTAGAATGGACCTTTTTCTGGTCAACAGGTGTTTTGTTCGAGACCCTGTACCTCTCCCCCTATCCTGGGGGGGGGGGGGGGGGCTTATGCAAACGGAGGTGTGTTGGTGCGTGTATACTAAATCCAAAAAGTCCGATCGCTAATAGAACTGAATTGAATCACTATGTATCAGGAGAATAATCTCACGACTGCCATGCAAGAGGCCGTAGAGAGAGGCTACGCCCACTCCTGATGGCCCCTAGGTTGAAAACTGCGCAAAAAGGTCGTGCCAAGGGCGAACAATTTTCTATTAGCGAAATATAAATTAGACGCCCCAAAGAAATGAATGTCCAACCTTTCACCGAGGCTCACGGCCTATCGCTGGTGTAAATACATGCTTAGTGTACAAATCTAATAATCTTTTTTTAACTAGTTGACAGCGTCAATTGATAAAAAGTAAGAAAAGGAGGGAAAAGAGAATATTGACTCTATTAATGCGTAAGCCAGTTATTTGAATTTTATGGTATAGATATAGAATACATGGAAGTCCATTTTGTTGCTGAAAAATTCGCTAGTTCTTAGTCTTTGTGAAATTTTGGGTTGGCGCGTGCCAGCTTGCATTACTTTTGTGCCAAGGCAAGGCAGTTTTGCGTGTTTTGTCCCATTTCCCTCAAAATTACGCCTAATATCGAGCTTCGCAGCGTAAAAATAGGATATGACGGAGCGACACGCTAGTCCTCTGGAATTATGAATGAAAACATAGGAGTAGTTCAGCACTAGAAATAATAAAGTTAGGGTGTACTGATGGTAATTGCGATATGCAGATAAGATATAAGGCAAAATATTATAGACGAGTTTCATGAAGAAGACGACAAGCTGTCCGGACTGGTAAAAAGTAATGTTTTTTTGGGTGGGGTCCGGATGATCATGGGTGAAAAGGCTAGCCTTAGTTGCCCAACGTACCAACGGATCACGCATTGCCCCCAAGAAGAAAAAAAAAATTCCACCAATTCCTCAGATATTCCTTTAATTTGTGCACATCCAAAACAAGGTGTTATTTAAGGTGAAACAGATGTGAAAATCGAGCTAAACGATTTCGCTCCATCAGCGCCGCTGAAGTTTAATAGAACCAAAAAACACTAAGCGGCCGCACGTGCGGAGCAGACCTGGTTGACGTAATTAAAGCTAAAATTAAAACCAACACCCCTTCGCGAGAGGATCCGGGCAATTTTATCAACTTTAAGCAATTTTCTTAAGTGTTATTTTGAGCGCAGGGAATATTTATTGAGGTAAAATTAAATTGCGATGTTTTCCGAACACGTTTCCGGTGCCATCTGACTTTTTGACACACGAGACTCAGAAAGTGAGATGCGATATAGCCGTAAGTATATCCACGTACTTCATTCATTGAAAAGAACATGGCTTTCATGTAGTATTTACATTCCTGGGACACATGAATAAACGCCGGTCGCGTGTTTACTAACACAAGGCATCTCCGCCCACGAGTTGCAGCCATATTGGAATGTGCGATTTCACATGCCATTCACAAGTTTGTCTAATTTTGTTTTGCGTGCCCTAGCCTGGGGATCGGGCAACGATACTGGTTTCAGGCTATTAATTATAAACATTTTGGAACAATATTTGGTCATTTTTGTCCCCACCTCCCAATGGAACGCCAATAACAGGAAGAGTGCACGCCGCTCAATTGAACAAAAAATTAGGTGTGGATTTTCCCGCCCATTTGATGTTGATCACCGAGTGATTAAAATTTTTTATGTATGTCAGACATATCTACCCTCTCTCTCTCTCTCTCTCTCTCTCTCTCACACACACACACACACACACACACACAGAAAAGAAAAAGAGAAAAAATCAAAAATTGTATTTTATTTGATATACGACCTTTCTACAGCCTATTGCGCATTTATTTTCGTAATCGCGTTGAGAAAGGCTCTTTCATTACGCGAGTAAAGGAGCAGATTTTATAGTCGAAGGGGGGCCGTCCATTCATTATTCTCGGGAAAATATATTTCCACAGCATTCTATAATGATGTGTTTAACGGCTGTCACTACCGGAAGACCAAACCATCCTGCGAAGTACCGAGAGAACGAAAAGAAAGCAACCTGTTACATTGTATTTCATGGGTGGTTATAAAGAAACTGAAATGTGCTACATAACAACACGTCTTTTTGTTGCACTATCTGGCAATATATTTCCGGGGCAGATGTTTGCTTTTTTTAAAAAAATACGGAAAGTTCACGCAAACGAAAAGGTGCCCGCGCGTGCTCCCTCAAACTTTGAAGACTGACATTTTTATTTTAGATGCTCGAAATACTTTGTTCTTGACACACAATGCATTTTATTATGTTTACGCATCCAAAGCGTTGTTGCGACCGCAACATTTTGCTGTGTCATAGAAATTGGGAAAACAGTTCCGATGGTTCTGTACTGATGCGTTCTACACAAGGAGCACTCTTTACTATGAACAGAACACGGGTTTGAAATACCCACGTGTATATACGTCCATTAGTAGTGGGAACTGCGTACATAAAACGTAACAAACATTTTCGGGTAAGACATTTAACCTTTAAAAGTTGACAATGTGATCAAAACACACCCGAATAATGCCTCCCAACTCAAAATATTATGAAAATAAATTTTAGGTTATATCTGAAACAAAGCACTGATGGCTATATTTGAGAGCAAAAACATTATTTTAAGTGCACTTCATAAAATGACACCGACATGTTTTCGTTCAAATTTCTCCAATCACGCTGCACAATCTTTCACAAGTACCACGCTCGTAAATTTCCACCCGCTCAACAGGTTAGTACGTAATGAATCAATGCTCATTCTTTAGCGGTACCCCTTGTGGAGTGGGGGCTTCAATTTTTTTCTATTTCAAAGAATAATAAGTTGACTGTTTGTCACTTTTACGCACGCGATACTGTCATGTGCACGTACCCCGAGGGAAGTTTCTAGGCGAGCGGAGGAGAAAAGTGCATGTTTGCAAGGGCGGGCCCGGTTAGGAAAACTAGTCTGTTTCATCAATAGGTCTTCTTTCATTTATTTATTTATTGTTTAAAGAATGCCCTTTTTTACATTTTTTGTCATTTGCGTTTTGAATTCAACCCAACTTAAATCCAACACGAAATCAAAATCAACTGCGGGTGGAAGGTGCGTCTTGTTATTTTCATTTTCAACAATTTTTTCGTAAAGTTAGAAGAGCCAGCAGATTTCAAAGGCTCCTCCACTTCGTCTCGAAAAAACATTGCATAATCTCTATCGGATGAAAAGATCAAAGGAGAAAAAAGAGGTCATGAAGATAGATATAAAGCGTTCCAAAACCATTCACCATCCTTTGAATCATTGTGTTTATACATCGTGCAATCTCTACAGTTGTTTTATATAACAAATTGTGTGATTTTGAATTTAACCTCTCTGGTAGAACAATTTTCAGCTATCTCTCTCCTTCTCTCTCTCTCTCTCTCTTTCTCTCGGGACCACTTCTGATCGTTTTCCTTCAAATAGTTTCATTTCGAAATCAATCCAACCGAATGATCAATTTTTAGCCGTGTGCCTCTGCATCACTGATTATTTCTGCACGTTTCTTATCGCGATGATTCATTCTTTCAACAGTTTACTAAGGTGACCCTGGCGTTTTACTGCTCACTTAATCACTGGCACCTCTCTTACGGTGACAGGTGGCAACCTCCTTTCCAATATATGTCCTCGGCGTATTATAACACAATTGCATCAAAGTCGCTAAATGAAGACTTATTGAGACGAGAGTTAGATAGGTACACCGCAAATCCCGCGTAACTCTTGAGAATTGCATATCTAAACAGGGCCGTCAGTTGTCTTAAAAAAAGGACCGGTCACAAGATAAGATTACTACAGCAACTTTACGTGTATTTCAGATAGAGGGAATCCGACAAATCGCCAAGGATGATATAGGAGTGTTATCACTATCTTGAGAATATATAAGAAGGGCACATAGCCCGGTGAGATAGACGACGGCCTGTTTCGAATCACTGGACCTGTCAATCAGCAGTATCGTTTTCACAAATAGAACACACACAATACAAACCGTGTTGACACTTGAACGCTCCGACCACCTCGCCACGTAATCTCTGTTTCACAATATTTGTATAGCGTTTCTTCCTTACACTTTTTTATTTTACTCGTCGCGTGAGTAATACGTTCGTGACAAAAAAAAAATGTAGAATAAAGCATCTTGTTTTCACCTCACCACAATTGTGGGGAATACGGGCCCTGAAGTTCATTCAAACTGACGTTGCTTTTTTTCGAAAATTGTGAAGCGTTAACTGACTCTAGCGTCGTTGCTCTTTAAAGAAAGTTTTAAATTGGGTAGGAATTGTCATCGCCGTAGTGATGCCAAACATTGCTGAATCAGTCGGTTACAGAAGTATCCCTGCAGCCGCCCCTCAATGACTGCGTCCACAAAAAATGTGGACGTAAAAGTTATAGCATGCTGAGAAGAAAAATGCACTGAACGCGAAGCTTTGAAGTACAATGATTATTATCTGTCATTCTGTCGCCGTCGAAGAAAATCAAACGGAAGTATTTACACGTCTGCAGTCATTAGAACCTAATTATGTCATAAACTGCAATTGAACTTCCACGTTCCACGAAACAGCGCCCAGATAACATAGTGCTTACAGAATAGGAAGGTGACAATTCGTAAAATCCTATCATGATAAGGTTTTTCTATAGCAATGCTCATTTGTAACCGTCTACATTGCGATATATAACGAGTTCATCCAAGAAAAAATTCTCAAAGTTTATAAATTAAGGTGTATAATAGAAGTTTGACTTACCCCAGTACAAATAGGGCTGGCTTTCACCAGAACATCAAGCACTGCAGCCAAAACACAGGTGCATATGGCAACAAACTGAAATACGTCCATGACGATAATTTCGCTTTCAAAAATCGCAAAAAATGTGAAATTAAAGTCCTTGACAGTGAAAAGTCTATCAGCGTTCCCTGTGGGTGATAGGCGAATCTCCACGTGCGAAGAGATGAACTGTTGGTCCCTTGAGTGTCCCTGTCGATACGCGGTCTGTCAAGCCCGATAAGCTTATTTGGCAATCGACTTAGGCAATACGATAAAAAAGAAAATTCGTGATCCTATTAAAAATAAAATATGAGAAGTGTTCCGCTACGGCTTGAAATCTCAATCGAGTTAACTTAATCTAAACTTGTTGAATACACTATCCTAGCCTAGTTTATCTGTCTGAGTCTACTACGGTAGTTTCGCTCGGTGTGTGAAGGCAAGTTCTGTCACCTGGGTTTATATATACTCCAGGCTATCTCATTATTATGTATGGCATGCGTAATGGCCCCATTTCGTCACAACCAGCTTTCATTCATGAAGCAGAAGTGAAATATTGAATGGCAAGGGGTTTACTCACTGGCGTAGTGAGCCAAAGGGAGCGGTAGTTAGTTTGTGTCGTCTGCGTGACGTTACAGCACGATTTGCGTGCTTAAAATGAATGATCCCCTCAAGACGTAGTTGCGAAATGTCTCAAAGGGCCAATCAGAGTTCGCTACCTGATAACGCCCCCTTTTTATTGTCCATTCATAGCGGATATAGCACACGATGGTTTGCATAATCATTGGCACGCTTGTTCATATTTTACTGACGTTTTCCTATTATTGTTGTCGGAAATTAATCCATAGGAACGACCCACCGGTTCACTTGTGATAAATATGGGAATTATTATGTTCGTCATTAGTGTCAAAAAATGCGATAAAGAACACAACATCATGAATTTTGTAAACAATGTAATGAACCCCCAAGGGGCTTATGAAATATATAACCAAATTAAGGCCAATATAGGAATTTCTGTTTTAATGTTGATACGCAATAGCATAAAAGTAGCGTAACACAGAGTAGAAAAATTGCGGTTTTCTCAACGGGGAGTTGTAGACCGTATAACTCACACGTAACAGAGTGTTTATAACAATCAATTACGGTATTAGATTCCTAAAGTGACAGGAATTCAAGGTGCAACTGCACCGCACAGGGAAATATACACGTTGAATGTGACGTGAAAGACTTAGGCGACTTCACCCCTAGAGAAAAGACAACAATTCTAGGGTCACATTGGTTGACTGGTCCCGCTTCCTTGTCGTTATGCTTTGCGATATTCTTTTCAAATATTTTTCAACGCTCGCTCTTTGATATGACATGTTTGACGGTGTTGATTTGGGATTTTCCTTCTTCCTCTTCCAAGAAGAATCAATGTGATCCACTGTAAACATTTTAATCGTTGTGTGTAGATATATCTCACAATTAATACCCCTTGTCCCACCGTACCCCCTTTCAAAGAACCACAAAAAAGGTGGACCCTAACTTCTGATCAACTTTGTAATTCATGTGACGAATAGAAAAGTACTCAAACATCATTGGTGCCACGAGACACCTAAAACAAAACTAAATTCATAACTCAGATAATACCATGTTGCTGAGTAAATATTTAAGGTTGTGAATACAATACAGTGATAACTGAGAGAGAGTTGGCAACTCGTGTTGTTCCTACGAACGCTGTTACTACACTGTCATAGTCGTGATGACAGCATGAATGACGGGCTGATGACTGGCAACGCGTGAAATGATTCTGCGTTTCTGTTGACCCATGTGGTTTTTACACAGCGTCTCCTGACTTTACAGACGGGTGTGAGCCAAATCATGTCTGTTGCCCTTGTTTTCTTTTCTACGATGCATCTTACACTTGCATGCTTTTGGTTTGAAACCTGGAAGGGGTGGGGGGTCATTTCTACTTGGCGTATTCTGTCTTTTTCGAGGACGATGTTAGATGTTACGGTGGATCTCATACCGGTTCTTGCTTTTTCTTTCTGACTTTTTTCTTATTTAAGTGGTCTTCTCGTCTCCGGGAGTGTTTTCAACATCTAGAACTTCTCCTCTGGAGAGATTCACGTGCCCGTGAATCAGACAACTCATGCACCATAGTCAGGTACGAGCAAATACCGTAGGTGATAAAGGTAGACATTATTCACCACAAAGTATAGCCTATCTTTAACCCGACTATGTGATAAAGCCGGCTAATTGTAGAGTTAAGGTGGGGTCCTCCCGCGCTTGTGGGTTTCTCCAACCGCAGCTTGTTTACACTGCCCAGGGTCCGCTTTCGATTTGGAGCGCAAGGTCATGCTTACCGTGCGATCCCCAATAATCGTGGTGACACGTACAGTGTAGGTGGTATGAATTTGCGAGATTCAGATTAATTGGAATTTACTTTCATTGCCAACGTTATGCCATACATGGCAATGAGACTTGATTTGAAATTACGCGTTTTGATGAGTGATCTCGCAAAGCCATGTTGGTTTTCATGATGTGTAAAAATGAAAATGCTACACGCGAATTAGTCAGCGTCATCTCTGTCTTTAACTCTCGTTAGTAAGTCTCGATATCCGAACCAGTTTTGGTTTTAATCACACGCAGCGTTTTAACGAGACCACAAAACCGACTGAGCGTGACTTAAGGATAAATGCTCCGCCTGGGAGATTGTTTTAGAAAATATTTGTTCCAGAAGTCAGTGGCTTTCTGCCATATATTACCTTTCTCCTTACGTAATAATATACAAATACAAATACAAAACAGTAGAAATCAGTCTACGGGATTTTAGGTCAGTGATAGACAACATATAATACTGCGTGGACAGCTGAAGAGGCAGTGATCACAAACCTGTCTGTCTGTCTGTCTGTCTGTCTGTCTGTTTGCCTGCCCGTCCACCCCCCAGCCTTCTGTGTATTCTGTCTGTCTGTTTGTCTGCCTGCCGGTCTGTTTGTTTGTCTGTTTGTTCGTCCGTCAATCTGTAATTGTCTGTCAATGGATCAATTGTATACAGATACAACGTAACGAGTACATGTTTTGGCGAACATTTACCTGAGTATGCAAAAATGTCAAAAAAAATGTTAAAATGAAAGGATTATCAAGTACACAAAGACCCAAATAGTAATTCAAACAAAAGGTCAACGTTCTTGTTTACAACTAAAGATCTGGGCGAAAGCTAACAAGGAGGTTGACGTAAACCAGATCATCCCGTTTTAAGCACGTTCTTTGGAATTTTATAAACAACATCTTCTATAAGCTCATAATAGAATATTTGTTGGGGTTTGTTTGTTTGCTTTGACACGATTGGGTGGCCGATTGACGGCTAGGTAGGTTTTCCCAGAACTGATGTTCTGATAACGGACACTAGATTTTTTTCTTCTGAAAACCAGATCATCCCTCCTGCTGCATCTGAAATAGGAACCGAATAAAATTTGGTTTTTATTAGGAACTAGTTATCAACCCCACTTTCATCTCTGCTCCATGTGGTGGTTTTATCTTCGACAGTCATTTGAAAGCCGTTTTAACATATTATATACAGTACATGTATGTATTAAATTAATGTTTTAATTTTAAATATAAATATTTACCCCCATTAAGGACACAGCACACTGATGATCTGTGTCATTTGGGGCTGTCACGCTGAGGTGATGGTATCATAGTTTCGCTTGTATTCATCCTTCTAGGAAATAAGATGGTCAAACCTTTAAGAACTCACGATTAAAAAACATTACTATTTGGCCAGTGCCACTTAAAACAACCCCAAAATTTTCACCACGGTCGGTTCACGCAAATGAAAAGACAAAAAGAAAGAATGACAGAAGGAGAGAAGGGAAAAAATATTGACCCCCCCCCCTTAAAAAATCTTATGCTCATGCAACCGACCCCCTGTTCAGGTGGCCTGATGTAGGCAATATCCAAGGTGCTAAGCAAATGTATAATGTTTGTGTGTATATGTATTTGGAAATACTTGACGAACAAATCGTAAGAGATATGTGAACAGATTTATATTGATAGGTGACATGTGTCAAGCCTTTTGGTACAGAAACGAGATTGATGTCCGGCAGGGATACAACTTGGTGACAACTGGATCGCCTCCAAATCTACCCTTTGTCAGAGTCACAGATTGATTTTTCACTAGATATTCACATATATGGCTCTGGCTAATTCTTCACACCTTTCTCTACTGACCAGAGAGAATTTGTATCCGGAATCCATATTATCACTGAGCTGGTTTCTGGTATAGAATGTCTCTAATCCATTTTATACAATGGTCAGTTAGGTAGGGGGAAGCTAAAGACCATTCTCACCAATATCAGTAATGCACGGCACGGGGGGGGGGAGGGGGGGAGGGGATAGTTAGGAATCGGCTGGGTCTCATTCGGCCCTCGGCTTTTTCTTAGGCTCTCCTCTATTTTAAAATTGTAAATGATTTTAGATTTCTCTCTGCTACAAAACATTTAAGTGGTTTCTATCACATTTGAGTGGTATGAAACAATACGTATACCTCAAAATATAATTATTTGTCAAATATATGCGCAGTCACGTATGCAGAGAAACTGGCAGACGACTGTGCGCTCTCTTGGCAGTCTGCCAGCACACACAAACCACGTCCTAACCGCCCGACCACCGCGTGCTCTTTATAAAATGATATAAAAGGTAAATCTGGCACCAATTTTGTATACCTTAAGCTTATCGAGACATTACATCAAGGCGTTTAAAAGATCCAGGGTAAAATATACCAAAATGTGGTTAAGAGTAGGGAAGAACTTGCATAATGGTTTTGAATGATTGAGGGGAGATATCTTTATCTTAGCGGTGAAGACGTTTCGATCTGTGACCCTATCTTCGGGATCGGTTTGGCGTTTTTGATCTCACTGGGGAATTTGTGGGTAATTTCACCGATGAAAAAAAAACCACAGGCATTTGGCAGTCTGATCGAATATCGGCATCTGATTCCATGATTACTCCCCCAAGTTTTGTCATCATTTGATTTCTTCATAGAGATATTTTTAGAATTGAAATCCTATAAACCCAAACATTTTTACGAATTCAAATTAGGTAATGTAATATGACTTAAAGGTTGTTGCGGATGAGTCAACTACTCACGATCTTAACCCCCTTCTCTCTCTCTCTCTCTCTCTCTCTCTCTCTCTTGTTTCTATTTCTTTTATTTCTTTGACTGGAAGGCGAAAAAGTGAACCAATATTGCATAAATGGTCTCAGCACTTTCATTCCACCCAATGCCTATCACCCCAACAAAATAAAACTTTGATTTCGACTTCTTATTTTCACGTGCTCTGGCCACGTTTCACCAGCAAAACACGTACATGCATGACTACAGTACAACGTGCTGCGCGTGTCAGCACGCTCTCGGCGAGCCGACACTTCGTTGAGAGCGAGCTGCCACACGGGCCTGCCAAGACTGGAGTAGTACCTGAG